TATGGCCAGACTGCTTCTGATTTGCCACTCTGATACCTCCAGTGCAGCTGAGCCAGCTGTATCTGGAATGCCCATCAGATTTACCTGCCTGTGGCACTTAAGATGCATTTTTAATGCTATCTTTCAAGCAAGTGGAACCCAATCTTTGTGGACCAAGGTGAGGTTGTACTGCAAGGAACACCGTGACTCTGGCCTTGCTATTTGTTTCAGCTGCAAAGATACTTGTGGTCAGCTCAGTGGAGGTGACACCTCTATTTCTCTTACCCTGAAGAACTGATGACCTCTTACCTGTGATTCATAAGCTACCGAAGTCCTATTGGGCTTCGTTTTATTTTGAAAGCAGATCAAGGGCCCATACTTCAGTTGTATTCAGTCTTCCACTTCYGCAATGTCTCACCTGCTTCTGTAAAAGTTCATATCCATCTCTTTTAGGTCCTATTCCACCTTTACACACTTATAAATGTCTTATCTTCCTCACAGATCTTGGGGTTTTTTTGCTTTTTTTACTCATTCCTCATTCTGCTACACCRCTGTGCCCATGTGCCGCGGCACCTTCACCACTGCTCTCAGCTTTCATACTCTCCTGGTTCTGCATCTTTACGCCTTCCTCAATGGAAAATTATTCTGGTGGCTGTCCCCTAAACCTTGAGGACTCTTTAGGTCATMCACTAGACTCAAAACAGAATTTTGAGATTAAGACTGTCACTATGAGCTTTGATCCATACCAGAGAGAGCACTTTGCAAGAAATAAGTGGAGTAAAGGGGGGACAAAGSTGGAACAGACCCAAAGAATTTAATGTAACAAGGTAATATGCAGTCTGAGTGACAATAGCACTTGGTGACAACAATTTAAGGAAGCAATAAACATCTGAGTCTCTTTGTGATGGAGAATCAAATGTGTTAATGAAAGGCAGATCTGTTCATGATGGAGAAGACTGAAAAACAGGATGAGACAGAGACCAGAGATGGAAAAACCAGCTGCTGTTTGATCAGATTGATCACTACATGGATGACCAGTTGCTGGATCAGAACAGGATCCACAGTGGTCCCACACTGCATGCMACAGGGACTGGTGCACCAGTATGACTGCCTTACACAAATCCATGTGACCACTTGCTAAACAGAAAATGGTTGTGCAACAAAAGCAGAAAACAGACTTAGCAGGTCAGTCATGTGTCTATCAGGCCTGCTGAACGTTATGGAAAAGGAAGAGACAGTTCTTGTAAACACTGAAATTTAGTGTGGTATAGCATAGAGAAAAAAGATTTATCACAGCAAGTGAATTGCTTTAAAATTTACAGCCTGCCTCCACTAGAAATGGAATACTTTCAAGTAATACCAATTAAATTGTCTTAGCAAAATATATTTTAGGAAACAAAACCATTTAATGTCCTTGTCTAAGGCAGTCTGAGTGCTGCCTTTTCCCAGCAGCATATTATGAAGACAATTGTCTCTCGTCTGATAGCTCACATTGTAAATACACAGTCAGGCTAATTCGTAAGTGACAGACCAGAGCCACGTACCCCARCTTTTCCAGTAAGCATCTCACGTATCTTCAAAGAGTCCTTCTAAAAATGTAGAAAATGTTAGAATTGTGTCCTAGGCCTGATCTGCAGAAAATCTGGGGGAAAAAAGCCAGAGACATAAATTTGCTGGGAAAAAAAAATAAAGTGTATTTGATTTACCAGCTGGCAGGACTTTTGTCACGATGTGTAGAGGGAAAAAAGATTGTGGTGAGTCACCCCCTGATGCTGTTCCATCATGACCCATCACAATGACATTGGTGGTGTGTCCACACCTTCTTTCCTCTCAAATGAAACCAGTGATGGCACAGTCTCCCACCAAACTAGCACATGTTCCTCCTTGGAGTAGACCTCAGAGAAGGGCTTGGCAACTTTGCTTGGAGGTAAGACTACAGTACCTCTCACCCGGATGCCTTTCCAAGGAAGAAGCAGCTCTGTATCTCCCCAGCTACTGAGGTGTCTAGAATTTGAGCATCCTCTTTTCAGAGCACAAAATCAAATAAAAAGATTTGTGCACTGGGCATGCAGTAGCAAAACCTACCTCCAATAACATGTGGTTTGCTGCAGGGTTTTTTTCCCCACATTTCTTCTCACAGAAATAAACTGCTATTCTTGCCTGCTATGCAAGGACATTCATCAGAAATAACACATGCAGAAAGCGACAAATGTTGGCAGCGATGCTGTGACACTCTATCATGCTCTAGCCTTTAAAAACAGCACTAAAATCTTCGACATGGCTGATATCACTCGTGACTCTTGGGGTTTTTCTCCTGTCCACTCAGCAGTAGTTTCACTTCAATAATTCTCCAGTGATTCATTCCTGTGGGGTATTATGGTGGCCACAAGGACTGCCTACATGCTCACTTGGATGTGAAGACCACTTTCAACCAAAAACAACCAATCTTCAAACCATTTAATTGCATTCACACCACTTCATTGCAAGCAGGTTTTCCTTTTGAAGCTTCCTTACGATTTTCAGAACAAACCAGATTTAAACCAAAGCCTTGTTCACTAACCCCAAGTTTATCACAAAAACTACAYGAAACATTATATTAGAGCTCAGTGAATCACCCGCTTTGGGCCCAAATTATTTTGTTCTCTGGTTCCACTTTTGACAAAGAGAAATGTTAAGAGTTAAGTTTGAGCTGGATATGCTTATGAGGTTGGATGGCTGGCCTTTATTTTTATAGTTGGGCTAGAATAGAAAAACAATCCTAGCTAGACAGATTAGCCCAGGGCACTCCCCAGCTCCAAGGCTGGTTGCATACCAAACTTAGCAAAACACAGGCGCAAGCTATGAACATGCAGGAGCCAGCAACAGCAGCTTTCAGAAAGTCTGCATGGGATCCCTGCTACGCTGAGCTTTTTCAGACTTTACATTGTTCCTTACTCTTCCCTTGTTTTAGGCTTTGAGGAGCCTGCTGATTCTGGCATTACATTAGCCAGATTCCCAYTAAGGTACTCAGGGGTCTGCCGTCTTCTCCTTCCTTTCACTTCRTTCCATCTCTTCCACTGAAGGTTGTTTTTTGTTCCCATATTTTTTGAGAGCAGCGCAGAGACATGAGAATGGTCCAAGGAATGCTGCAGTCCCTGAACTATGGGATCAGTTCCTGGGGCAGTAGGGTTCTTTCTCCATCATCCTGCTGCTTTCCGGGAGGACATGAAGATCACGCTCCAGAGGGAGTAAAGAATCAGCTACGAGGGAAAGGGCTCCTTCTGCCTCCTGGCAGAGAAGTTGAGGACCACAGTAAGAATAGAGCAGGGGCAGAATCTCAGATTCTTTAGCTCAGACAGGATTCATATCCTCTAGCCATTTTCCCTTTCCCTTCCTGTTATACTGGGAAAGTACTTGCACACAAAATTATTTTGGCAAACAAGAACCAGAGAAGCACATCTTTTAGTTTAAAAGTTCCTAAGAAATAATAGTAAGTGAATTACAGGTGATTTGCATGGAGGCTGAGAGAAATTATTACTGCCAGCAGGATAAAACAACAAATCCAGAGTGCTGGACTACCCAAAAAGGTTTCAGTGTAGATGCTGATSACATTTCAGGATGCAGTCCCAGAGCGTGATAAAAGAATAAGAGAAGACCCTACAGGATAAAAGGTAAAATCCAAAATCAGGTATTATTATTTAATATTTTTTTTATTTCAAAACCAAGAAACAACCACATTTAATAAGCATATAAAATCCATCCGAAATATTCACAATGCTGTTACAGAAAAAGAAAATAACAAAGAGTACCGTGTGAGAAAGGCCTACATGTTTCGGTCCAAGCCAACACACATCTGATGCAAAGKATGGAATGCTCTTATGCACAGCTGTGGGGAGAATTTCCTAACATACAGATACCCATATAGAAATACCATGTCTGGATGTGCTGGGGTCAAAGGAAGGGCACAGAAATCTATGTGACTGAGCCAAAATATTAAAATTGGGAAAGAAGACTTATATAATACTTCTGAGAATAAATATCTGGCCTGTAAGCCAGATAAAAAGCTAGGTAAAACTGGATGTAATATGATTGCATTYTGCAAAGCTGGGGCACTTCAAATTCACAGGAAGCATTTAACAGCAGCAAATTTTAACTGATCTTAGCAACTGTTTTCATTAGGTAAGACGGTAATGTCATCACTAGTTACTGAAAATGTCAGGCACCCCCCCAGAATATACATCAATGGGAATTTCTTTAACCTGCTCTGAAGCATTATATTGGCAAGAAAGCTTGGGCCATCCACACTACAGAAGTCTTGCTGTCATTCCAACCTTTTCTACGCCCTTCCTCYTTTTAATGTCTCACAATCTGTGTGCCTGCCTGTCTTCAGGCTATCCAGTAATGAATTCCAGCAGGTAGACCTGAGTTTGACCAAGTCCAAAAACTGCAGACTTGATCTCAGAATAGCAGGAGCTTAAATTGTAGTCTCTGTGCCTTTAGATATTTGGTGCAGGCATGCACAGGCACGGAGCCTGTCACAGAGCACTACAGTGAATTAAAGCTGCCCCTCCTTGACTGCAAGAGTACCTTACGTGCTACTTTTGGCCTGCCTGAGCTGAGSTGTGCCAGCTCAGCAAGGGTGGGGGATACACAAACTCAATTGCCCAGCAGAATGACAAGCGAGGAGACCGACATTTACTGATGCACACTTACTGCCTGCCAYATCCCTTGAACAGAGGCACTAGTACAGAGCTGCACACATCTACACAGCACACTGGTGAGCACCACAACATCATGCACATCTTCCAGAGAGGATACATGGGGCAAAAAAAAAACCATCTGACCCGTGACCAAGCAGGGGACTGAACACTACAGACCGTTTGTGCTGCTATATTAGCAAACTGCAGTAGCTCTGGTGTCCACTCCTGCATCTCTACCCTTATGAACTTACATGTACCACAACTGACCATGCCTGTGTCCACAAGGGTCATGCTACATGCCTCTGTAATATTTATAGGAACAATTGCTAAGAAAATACAGCTTCGAAAAATAATTTTTATCCTTGCGCTCTTTCAACTGACAATCTGCAAATTTCAGACTTTATGACGTACTAGACTACAACAGAGAAGCCGAAAAAGAAAGAAATTAAGAGAAGGCAGGAAAAATTACCTTCTGGTTTGCAATCACCACCCTCAATCATCCATAGAATACTTAAAACCACGTCTGAAAATATAATCCAATAACACCCACTGTAAGCTCCAATATCACTCTCATCAACACTTGAGAACAATTCTTTAAAATAGTCACCAAAAATCCCTAATAACAGAGATTTTAGGGCAGAAACGTACCTCTTCCCACAAGTACACAATTCTTTGTATTTCTTCCAAGAGGGCACAAATTACTTGAAGGTGATGTGCATAATTGGCTCTGATGTACATACCATCTAAAATGATGAATCTCCTTTTCAGTACCACATTTCTCCTTTACAGTCTTATTGCACCTCAAGTCTACAGCATCTTTTGTTAGAATAGCTATTTCTCTTAAACTTGTCYGATTTCTTTATCTGTACATTTTTGTACACCATTAAAAAAATAAATATTTACAAAGTGACATAGAAATAAATAAACTGAAGTAAAAGTATGCTTTCAGTCTGTCTATACAAAAAATAAAAGAGCAGGAAAAAATATGCATGTGACTTGGTCCCCTTTTTCCTGAGGCTAAAAAAAAGTGCACACTGGATAGGAAAAAGCAAGATGGCTTTTTGGTAAGCTTGCCAAATCCCAGTGTAACACTGTACACACGCACACAAAGTAGACTCAAGGGGCTGGGGACTTGTTTAGTGGGTCACTTCAACTCACTACAAAAATAGTAATTAGATCCAAATACATAATGGTCACTGTGTGCATAAGTATGTTAACCCCAAATGGCAATTTTACGTGAGAAAAGTAAAAATATCGCCAGMTCTTCTCTGTTCTCCTGATGTTTGTGGCAGGGAAGATGAGATTATTTTTGCGAGTGCCAGGTGCTTTCCAGTATGGAATCATCCATACCAGGTTTGCTTAATGCTGGCAGGCCTGGCARAATGGATGAGCTTGTGGGTGAAAAGAAGAAAATAGCAGCAATTGAGGAGGGGAAAAATGTCCCAGTTCTCAAGGTTTTCTTTACTCATTCCTTTAATGACTCTTTAAGCATGTAAGAGTTGAAAAATGGGTGTGCCGTGGATCTTAGGCAGCTTCTTTGTCAGCCTGTATGCTGTTCAGCTCTACCGAGGAGCTCTTCTGGGGTGACGTGGGGCTCGCTCCTCGTTCTTCAAAGCCCTTGGAGATGTCTTCAAAAGTCCTGCCTCTGGTCTCTGGCACTTTGAAGTACGTGAAGACAAAGAAGATGACCAGGAAAAAAAGGAAGATGAGGAAGACATAGGAGCCACATAATTTCTGTGGGGAAGACAAATGCAAAAGGTTTTATTTCCAAATTGCATGTAAGGTCATTTGCTKTTGACAGGTTAAAATTCCAACACTTTTCTCCAACAGTGCACTTACTAACTTTTTTCTCACAGCATTTTTTTAAAWTTGAAATCAGGCTTCTGAATGAATTTAATCTTCCTGGGGGTGACCAAAATTGAGGCTCTTAAAGCAAAAGCCACAATATGCTTGCTAAGATGGCTCTTTTACATATTTGTAAGCTACAARCAGTTAAGACAGCACAACAGAAGGTGAGCAACAGCCTCCAGGAACAGTCATAACACTGAGTCAGAAGACTCATCAGCTCTCTTCTCAAAGCTGGGATAACTTCCAGGACAGGTCAGGCAACTAAAGGTCATGTGTCAAAGTCTTCAAAGATGCAGATTCTACCCCCTTTCGGGACACCTATTCCAATGCTGCTGTGCTCTTACAGTGCTTTATGAACCAGGACTTACCTCTGCATAGGGGAAGAGCATTCCCACCAGGAAATTGGAGGTCCAGTTGGAACAGCCAGCCACTGCCACAGCTGCAGGTCGTGGGCCTTGGCTGAAGAGCTCTGCCACAATGAACCACGGGATAGGGCCAGGGCCAATCTCAAAAAGAGCRACAAAGCCAAAAGTGGCAACAATGCTGATGTATCTGATCCATACCACAGTGTCCTGCAAGGGAACAAAATGTGATCAGCTGCAGTTTGAGGCAAACATGGCACAGTACAAAGCCATCTCCAGTGTTACAACTTTCCCAGCTGCACTGTGAACACTGTAGCAGTTCCCAGAGTTATAAAATGGCTCTCTCCRCTGCACTCTTGGCTCTAGCCCCAGCTCCACCTGCCTACAGGGCAGCATTGCAGAGCAAAGCAGATGGGTAGTCTTATTGGTCCCTGCTGGGGTCAGCCTGGACAGAAACACTGCTAACTCACCTTTAGAGCTAAAGCAATAGTCATAATAGCAGCACACACAGCCATGCCACCCAATCCAATTAAATGGAGGGTCCGGCGCCCTGCACGCTCCACCAGGAACAGCTGGAAAGAAGGCAGAAGGAAAAAAACATCCATTACTTTGGCACTAAAAACAGGACAGGCTTCCTTGCTCAGTGTGTCCTGCACCTCTTCCTTATCTGCCTGTAAGCCTCAGTGACCGTGGCCTCAGCGACCAGTGCAGGTCACAGCCTGCTCCAACCTTAGCACGTATTTTTCCACTCTATGGTTTACTTTCTCTCATCTCTCTTTTCCCCCCCTTRCACCCCTCTTCTCCCTTCTCTTTCATCTAAGATAACAATGCCTCTTTGTGCCCATCTCCCCTCCCACAGTGCCTTTGATGCACTCTCTTTGCTCCTACAGGCCAGTGCTCTGCCACAGCCTGGCTGCTTTTCTGTAGCCCCACGTGCCAGGGACACACGGCCCTGTTCCACTCACCGATACCACAGTGAAGACTGTGTTCACYACACCGGCTCCAATGGTGGCGTAGACAGGCTGCGTGATGCCAGCTCTTTCAAAAATCCCCGTGGAATAATAGAACACCTGGGAACAGAAGAGAAAGTTGGACAGAGTCATGACTCCATGTTTGAGAGCACATCCCTCATCCTCTGCCTAATGGCTTGCACACCCAGAAGGGAGTTTTTAACCAGCACTCCACAGTACAAAACAGCATGCTTCCAGTCAAGGTTCATTCACGTGGTGCAAGGCCGCAGTGTCTTGCCAGGGCATGTGCCTGTAAAGTGAAAGCCATAATATCCCCTTTGTATCTCAGCCATCTTTGCCCTATGACAAAACAGCAACCTCCAGTCAAGGCACAATGAGATTTTGGGACATACAGTTCTCTCCACACCAGTGGCAAGTGCAAGTTTAGTCAGAGATGAGGGAGGCCCAGAAGATGGGACAGGAAGATAACTCACAGCATTGATGCCCGAGAGCTGCTGGGAGAGCTGCAGTATGATGGCAATGATAATGGCTTGCCGGTAGTTTGGAGAACGGAAGAGCTCTGGCACAGTAGCTTTCTTTTCCTGGGACATTTTAGCACTTTCGTCTTTCATCTCCTGGATGTCCTGAGACACATTTGGATCACCACGGAGCTTCTGCAGAACTGGAGGGAGAAATCCAAAGGTATGACGTATGAGGCACACGCCTACTGGCCATGGGGGGTGTGTGTCCCATCCTGCTGTTGCAGGRAGGGCACAGGAGAAGACTGGAACACCTCCAGTCAGGGCTGAGGTCAGCAACACAGGAAAGACAAAGCCTCTGCAGGCAGCCTTGCTCTTCCTTTCAACCCAGAGGTCAAGGTGTTGTGATCAGCTTGGAAACCAGGCCCAGGTCCTGTTCATGTTGACTGATCTCCCAGTTTATGTTTGATCCCAAATTCTGCTCACGCTCTTACCAGAGCTGCCCCCAGCCCTCCAAGCTCCCTGTCAAATGCCATCCAATTTCCTGCCTTTCAGGAGGAGCTGGCRGAGTGGCAGCAGCTGGTCCTGCTACACCCCACCAGGCCAGGAGCCACTCCCCACGTCTTAATCCCACCTGGAGCCTCTGCTGGGATATGCCAGGTTTCTCATGCTTCCTGGCACTGCTGCAGCCTAAAGGATGGGAAGGTAGGCCAGGCCTGATGCCCTCTGGGAGTCACACCCTAATCCACCACAGGCTCCAGAGTCAGTCCTGGCCTCCCACTCGAGCTCAGTGCAGGCTGGGAGCCAGCACACTGCCCTGCCCCTTTGAGATGAGTTCGTACCTGCTTGGGCTTTTTCCTCCTCCATCTTATTGATCAATAGGAATCGGGGGCTCTCGGGACAGAACAGAAGRCCCACACACTGCAGGATTGCTGGGAGGATCGTGAACCCCAAAAGCATTGGCCAAAGGCCTTCCGTGCCCATGATTGACTCCAGTCCAAAGATCTACACCRACAAGAGAGAAGCAAGAGTGGTTTTAAACACTTCACTTCCTCACCCCCACCCCWGTATGGGAGCACTACACACAGCACCTGATGGCAAGCAAAGCCCTCCTCACCCTCTCCCAGCCCTCCTTCCCCCTCCCAAGGACAGGGCCGGGCTGTGCCAAGCCTACCTGAGCCACCAGGATGCCCACGACGATGCCCAGCTGGTTGAGGGTGCCGAAGGCTCCGCGGACACTGGTGGGTGAGACCTCACTGATGTACATGGGCACAAAGCCGGTGCAGAGACCGCAGAAGACACCGATAATGAAGCGGCCAATAATGAACATCTCCACTGACTTTGCCGCCTTYGAGAAGGCCATGAGAAGGCCACCAGCAAAGGCCAAGACATTCACCAGCAGCATGGAGTTCCTCCTGCCAGGGTAAAGAGGTCAAGACTGAGCTTACATCAGCCATACAGCAGGAAAATCACTGGGAGAGGTGTAAAGGTAAACCTGCCCATGAACTCCTATCTCAGGGATGGGAAGGGAATGGAATAATTCCCATTCAGCTCCTGCCTTGGCCTGCAATCCTTTTTGCGGCCCACACAATCTTGCTTCTTCCCCAGATATCTCTTCACCCTCTGCCCTCTTCCACCCAACACTCCTTTGTAGAAGAAAAAGATTCTCCAACAGCTTGCAACCCTCTTCTCAACTTACCTGCCAAATCTGTTGACAAACAGACTGACTGAGAAGGAGCCAATCATGCCTCCTACTGAGAAGATGGCCACTGAAAGCGACCATAGAGAGGTGAGGAGCTCTGGAGAAGCAGCCCTCCCACTCCTATCTGAAAGCGTTTGGTTGAAAAACTTCCGAATGATCTGCAAGAGAAATCAGGTGGAGACAGTTACAATCCAGAGGGAAGGCATTTTGCACTGGGGAGAGGGGAGACTATGCCTGCCTTCTGCTTCCTGCTGCCATGAAAACAGAGATAGACCCAAAAAAGGCAGCAACAAGCTATACAAGGGGAAGATAAGGGCACAGAAGGAGGAGCTTTTACGGAGAAGTAGCAGTATGATGAGGGAGASATTGCTTCACTGAATGGAGGGCAGGCAGGGTACACACAGGASAGCAGTGTTTATTAAGGAAAACGGGCTTATCTTCTGAATATTTCAGATGATGTGAGTCACTGGTGCTTCTTGGGAGGAGGCATGAGACAGTTGGGAGTGAGAGGGAACAAGAAAACATGACCACAGACTGGATGGGAACATTTCTGGCAGTACCAAAACACTGACAGCAGAGATAGGATTTCTGCTGTAGAAATAGAGACACAAGGCTTCACTGAAGTAAGCCTGAAAAACTGCTTTTTCTACATAATGCTGTCCCATGGGGACGTGAACAGGGCCATGTTGCTGATTTCCCAGGCATCCCCTTAGCTAAGGAGGTAAATTCTGGCATGGGCTGTGGGGGGACAAAGTGTCTGCCCCCAGCAGATGGCAGCAGGACATTAGCTAGGGAGGACTGACCCCATCCCCCATCCCATCATGAACATCTCTTCCCGGAGACAGGGTGGATGTGGTTGGCAATTCATGACTCAGTTTTTGAGAGGAACCATCTTRCATGACAAAAAACACATCTCTCATTTCCTTCACCTCTTGTTTCTTAGGCTACAGTCATGGGATGACTTGGTCAGAATGCCCAAGTCACAGCCCTTTCAAAAGCACTGAATCTATACTTAACACAAGGAATGAGTAAACAAGTAAACTAAAAAAAAAACCTTGAACTAAACTAAATTAGGGCAGCTGTAATCCCCACCAACCCTCAGCTGCTTTATGCATGCTGCTGTCTACATTCTTTCTGCCATGGGTAGTTTATTCTGACTCAAAACTGAAGTGGCTCACATTCCTCCACACAACACATATGGCAGATGGAGGCCCCCTGCCCTTCCTGTGCTCCTAATTAAGAGAATTAACCTCTCTGATTGTTCTCTCCCTTCCCCAAAAGTTCACCATTCCTCTTCAATGTTGTATTTGAAAGGGGGTTTTAAATGCCTTATGGGCTTGATAAATCAAAACCAAATTACTGGCTGCTTGGGAGACAGTCCCTCTCCTTGCTACACCAGTTTTCCCATCAGCCCCTCACTCATCCCACCCGCCCAGCTCACTCTCTCTCACCTTCTCAGGAGCATTAATTACACCAGTGTTGTACCCAAACTGGAGAGATCCAATGGCAGCAATGCAAACAGCATACACAAGAGGCGCTGTGATTTTCTGTGGAAAGAGAGGCAACAGTTATTTGGTTAATTTGGCTTTCTGCACACCTTGAGTTTCTCTTCATCTTAAACAGCAGCTGCAGCTCATAGGTGCCATGTGCAAGTACACCATGGGCAGGGAAAGGGCTTTTATCCAGCAAGGGTGGATACCGGGGGCATCCCTTGGATCCCCCTTCCCTGGAAAGGGAGAGGCAACTGTACAGCAGGAAAAAGTTCTGTGACTGCAGGTAGGAGGGCTTGTCAGGGCCTCCCCTTTATTATCTCCTGACCTTCAGCAACTATTCTCAGCTCATTAGTAATGAATACACTGGCTGCATTAGTGGCTGTTATTTTGGGTTGAGCTGCTTTACAGAAGCTTTTGCTGATCTCTGGCATGTCATGAAAGAAGGGTCTAACTCTTCCCCGTTCCAGATGACAAGTTCCCACAAATTGAGGCTCAGATCTGCCCATGAGCTACACTGGCAGTCACTCATAACAGTTACAACACGAACTCCTCAGCAACAGGCTTGTTTTTCCCAGGCTAGAGCTTCCCAAACCCGCCCCAGGGCACCTGGCACTGCAGCAGTGCCTCAAGAGGAGGCAGCAGTTGCTACCAACCTCCCATCTATTTTTCCTTAAGCTGTGGCAATAGTCGGTATTTTAAATGAAGCACACTCCCTGGAATTTCAGTATATCTGAATCTCTAGTTAATTAAAATTAAAACTACTGAGCCCTCAGAGCCATGGGGAAAGCTTGAAGTCAATCTCAGAAGTCCCACAGACTGAGAAATTTAAGTGTCAGCAAAAAGCATCTGACATTTCACTCATTTTTAAAGCTTGTGGCATTTAAGCCAGCTCCGAGTGAGGGAGGCGTGGGGGAGCAGGTGACTCAGGAGTTGGCACTTAGGCAGCCAGTGCTTGAGTTGGCACAATTTGGAAAGATTGTGTTCCTTCTCCTCTCAGGAAGCTTGGATGCTTTTTCAAAAACATTAACAGTTCCTTTTCCAAGACTTTCCAATCATTGTACTTAACCTGGCAAAGTACTTGGAGGGGCCTACTGTTACAGCTCTTCTGGTCTCTCTAGCTCCAAGAGTAGAGAGACTCTCAAAACTGCCCCAAAGTTTCTGACAATAACCTTCTGTCAGTGCTCAGGCCACCTTCACCAATCTTTCAGGCCAAGCACGTACGTGCTTCTGGCCTGCACAACCCTCAGACAGTTTGGCCTCAGTAAACACAAATYGGGGAAATTACTCTCAGGCATCCTTTCCTTGACCTACATCATGCAAATGCCCTGCCCAGGTCACAAAGGGGAGACACCGGGTACAAGGGGCAGATGAGCACATTCACACCTGAACACACCCCAGGCAGTCTAGGCATTCTCCCTGGCACCCTGTGACCGCTCCCCTCATTTCTACCTCAAGGAAATTTGGCACAAGGACATAGCTCTTTCAAAGCATCTGGATACTTGTAAAAGTGCATTTTAATACCCAAGCAGTTTTAGGACTCCAGGCCAGGTCATCTTTAGCCAGCAGGTATGGCAAAGCTGCAGACAAAACCCAACTCTCCCCATGGTTCATGCAAGAGCACCTTTCCCCCAGGAGTCTGCTTTGTCATGGCTGGCAGTAATCACAGCTGGCCTTTTTCTTCGGGGTGCTGTAGGGCCCACAAGGGCCCTGCTCTGGAGGTACACCTCACTTACATGGCACATAAATGAGCTACAAGGAGGTTAGTTCTTCCACCCTCTTTCACACTTCCTTCTCCTGGCTATTGCCTGCTATTAGTCTTCTACTCAGCCTCCTACCACCTAGACATCACACTGCATGACCCATCCCCTCCAGCGAGCCAGACTGTGATCTAATGTATGGATCATTTGTTAATGCTGCAAGTGCCTCACTTCCCAAAAGGCAAACAGGGAGCTCAGAAATAGTACAGCTACACCCACTCCAGCTAGAGGCTCACGGATGAGGTCTGTACACCAGCAAGGAATTCAAACCACCAGCCCTCCCTCCGACCACAGGCATCGGCAGCATTCATCTCCCAGGAGATGCTCCTCATCAGCTCCCCTCTCCCCTGACTGGAACCCCTGAGATGTACAACTTGTTGAGCGCGGCAGGAGCGGCCGCTTCGCGCTCCTGAGCAACCTTGACTACACGCTCTCCTTTCCTCTGCCTCATCCTCTCACACTGCCYGCATCTCCCATCAATATGGCGATGAGAGTCCCGGCCTTCTCCAGCTCGGGCTGCTCCCGTGTGATTCCCCGGCATCCCGCACCGRGGAATTCAGTGGGTATTTGCTGCTTCCCTAAACACATTCGAACACACGCAGTCAGGAGCTCACTCCACTGCTGCCCACCTCACTCACAGCTGCAAATGAGCAGACACAGACAAATGCCCTCTGCTCTCCATGTGAGAGGGAGAAGTGCACGCTCTGCACCTTCTTGAAATTTAAAAATGCCTGTATAAGCCATGCCACCACCAACACGAGAAAAAAAAAAAAAAAAAAAAAAAAAAAAAAAAAAAAAAAAAAAAAAAAAAAAAAAAAAAAAAAAAAAAAAAAAAAAAAAAAAAGCCTTTTAGAGCAACCCCCCGCTTAGCATCCTAAACCTGGGGACAAACCGAGTGCGGCGCCGCCAGCCAAACAAACCTCGTGATCAATACCCTACAACGCGGACAGCATCATGTGCATCATCAGGCCACGCGAACGCAACCCAATCGATCCCGCGACCTGCGACAACCTCTCCCAAACTGTGCGGTCCTCCCCCACACCCGCTCCCGCACAYAGCCGCCGAAAGGCCGAGCAGCGGCCCTGCCGGGACCACCACCGCATCCATCCCCGCCGCGACCCAGACAGCCGGCAGCGGCGGCGAGCCCCGGCCGCACGCCGGTCGGACCATATCCCGTCCGAACGGCGGCCGCAGCSCGGGAGAAGGGGGGAGAAGGGGACGAGAAGAGCTCGCGTTCGCTCGCCTACCTTTTTGGCATCCATCGTCGGAGGCTCTCACWGCACGATTGCCGGCGAACAGCCACACGCACCACCTAACGGAACCCGCGAGAGGCGGCGGCTCCGCGCCCGCCCACGCCCGAGACTGCTGCGAGCCCGCCCCGCGCACGCCTCCCGCCGGCGCCCGCCCGCGSATTTATGGGCACCGCCATGGGAGGGGAGACGGAGGGCAGAGGGTGGGGCGGGGCGGGGCGGGGCGCTCGGCATCCCATCATTGTGAAAAAAAAAAAAAAAAAAAAACCAAAAACACCCCCCCGGAGCTCACGCCCCTTTGTGACGGGAATCTGCGTGCGGGGCGGCCGGGCGGTGATGGAGCGGGCTGGGCGGGGGCAGCGGGCCGGGTAGCGAGGCGCCCATGGAGCCGTGGTCCCGCTATGGAGCGGCGATCCCGCTGTCCGCGCCGCAGGGACCGGGCAGGGACCGCCGCACCTCGCGCCAAACGTTGGCTAATGGCACAGTGGCACAGTGCCTTCGGTGGCTTTAACCGACAGCAGCTGCCCAAGGGCCAGCGACCGAAAGCGAAGTCTTTATTTATTATTTGTTGTATTTAAAATTAAATATCTTTATTATTTGGTCTGTAAGCTAAAGCAGCAAGGCCGGCAGTGACGGTGCAGAGGCGGCCACATAGCACGGGCAGTAGCCTTAAGTCCAGCGCTGTGCTCAGCGGGTGCTCCTCCCACTTTGCAAAGCTGGGGATGAAGTACAGTTCTGTATTCGGGGTTTCGGGGATTTTTTTGTTAGTCTAGTTGCCAAAAATATATTTTTCATACGATTCTGGAATCTACGGGGGCAAAGCTGAGGCTGTATTTAGTCCCAGACATACCCTTCCTTACAAGGACATGTAGTAACAGGACAAGGGCGAATGGCTTCAAAATGACAGAGGGCAGGTTTACATTCGATAGATAATAGTTAGAGGTTCTTTACTGTGAGTGTGGTGAGGCACTGGCAGAAATTGCCCGTGAGGAATCATGGATGCCCCATCCCTACAAGTGTATAAGGCCAGGTTGGATGGGGCTTTGAGCAAAAAAGTAGAAACTGTTACCGCCCATGGCAGGGAGATTAGAACTGTATGATTTTTAACGTCCTCTCCAGTTCAAACCTTTTGATGAGTCTATGATTCAATCAAACACTACCGTGTTCAGTCATTTACTGTTCATCCTTCAGGTCAAACAATTGCCAAACTGTTCCAAGAGAATAATAAAGAGCTGTACTGTCGAACAATAAAAGTGTTCCCTGAATTAAGAATCTGTCAAGGACTTTAACTCCAGAAAACGGCAACAGCTGAGAACTAGGGCTGGGGCAAGGACAGCAGAAAAAAGCTGACTTATCCGGTGTTTTATCATTAGGAAAAGTACCTTGAGACCAGACACCACTTTTTCCATCAAATTCTGGGGAACTGGAACMATCATATTTTAAGTTCGATTCTGCTGTTTATTCTGTGTTGTCACCTGGCCACACATACTGGAAATGAACAGGTCAAAACTTTCCCTCACTCATTCTCAGAAATACCCGTTTATTTTGTGGTGTTTATGAGGGTGAGTGATGAACACCCATATGGAATATTTATGTGTTATGTTTACTTGATAAATATCTCATGGGTGTTCTATGTATTGTTGTTAAAATATTATTGCCAGCAGAAAAAAGTGTGGAAGGGCACAGGATGCCTGCAGTCCTCTTTCTTGGGCTATGTGACAAAAGCTCCTCTTCACACCCACAAAGGAGAGACAATGGCACAACGAGGGCCCCAGCTAACACTCTGCCTCAGCTACTGGCAGACCCCTCACGAGAGCCATTAGCACATCAAAGGTTCCATTTTCATACACCCGGAGGAAAACAAAGAACACAATRCCAGGTGACAACCCAGATTAAGGACTCAGAGGAAGGGACACCCTGCCAGGGCTAGCAGCTCAGGAGAGCCATCAGCTCAGGTGTGAAATTCATCACAAAGCCGAAGCTGGAGCACCTTTCCAGCTGCGAAAGAGGCGGTGCTGTGTACTGGGACACGTACAGGATGAAGGGGAAGAGCATTTTGGGATTGTACAGGACTTACTATGTGATGTTTAGGGGAGGAAGGGAGGGGGAAGGGAGGGGGGAAAGGGACAGTTGCATGTAAACTCTTGGCTGACTAATACAAATTTTCCTGCACTTGGTAAGCACAGTTTGCCCTGTCTCATTATTAAATTACGTTTTTAGCTCTGAGGTGCTCTCTGTAGGGGTGAGTACCACTGGTGTCTGCTTGTCTCTGAGGTGAGACCATGCCAGGCTGGCTCCTGGGGGGAATCAGGAGTGTCCTGGCCATCCATGCACACACCTCTGTGTGTGTGTACCAGCAACATCAGTGGGGCTGCAGCCTTGTGCCAGCATCGGAGAGACTGGGGGCTGTGCCCAGGCTGTCTGAGCCCAGATCCTTGGAAGGATCCACCTTATCATATCTACATGTGTGTGCATATGCATGCAATTCGCCACTGCTGGAGCTGCACCCTGCTCTTCTGTGAGGTCGCTGCTTGTGCAAATGCTCTGTGTAGCAGCCCTGTCTCCGTGTGCCTGTGCAGTGTATATGTGTGTGAGTTTATGCACATGCYCGCAGGGAATACGTGGTCATTCCTGCTGCTGGAAGCAAGGAACTGTGTCAGCCTCACCTCTGTCAGGCTGACAGGTCCAGCCTAGTTCTCCAACACTCTGTCTGAGTCACCCTGGCTCGCATTTTTCTTTTTCTTAGCTTATTTTCCATTTGTTTGCAAGCATAGCAGCCTCCACCTTGAATCTGATCACCCCACCGTCCCAAACTCTGGCATTAGCTCTGGAAATATTCATTTACTGGTTAGTGTGAGAAGTGGCCATATTTGTGGAGGCTTTAAGCATATTCACATTTCAGAGGCAATCTTTGGGCTGCATTGTTCTGAAATGTCCTCATTCTTTGTTTATTCTTAACTCACACAAGTCTGTTGCAAATGCTGAGCAATCCAAACTTTGAGATTAGATTAAATGCATACACAGCTACCGGTCCAATTTAGAAGCAATAAAAGTTGAGCTGAAAATTAAATCTCTAACACATAATGCAGAACATCGTGGGTAGCACATCTTTATTTTACAGAGCTGGAGAAATAAACAGTAATAAGAAAGAGACACAAGCTCAAAATGCACCACTGAAACCCCAATTTCGCTAAGGAATGTCAGGGGAAATACCCACTTCAGTGGGTGTTGCCCCTGTGTGTTCSTGCTCAAATATTTTGATTTGAAGTTTTCATCACAGCTGTTTCTCCCAAATACCAGTTTTGTTTCTGACCTAGGACACACACACCTACCTCCCACATCATGGCTAATTCTTCTGAGGATGGGCTGTTGGGGGAAGCACCCTAACACCTCCTTAGCAGAGCTATCTGATATTGCACCTATTATAAAACTATTCACCCACTCTTTTTGTGACTGTAATACTCGTGTATTATGCAAAGTGCCAGAATGGAGGCCCACTGCATGTGGACAGCCAGACAGAAGATTGCCAGAGCAAGGGCCAGGCAGAACCGGTCCCAGGGAGAACCTGATGCTGGCTGCCCCACATTAAACACCAGGATCCTAACCACAGAGCTATGGGGATTGGGAAAGGCCTGTCTTCTGCTTAGCAAGCTTTTTTCTCTTTAGCTTTGAGAACACTTGCATGTCTAAACTAGTGCATGCCAACCAGCATTTCATTTCCAGGGAGCTTACATTTTCTGAGGAAAGCTGGTTTAATCAGAGAATCCCTATCTGACATTAAGCAAGAGCCCCAACAATGGGCAAGCCTGTTCTTAWTTTAATTTATCTCAGAGACTGGAGCTGGCGTGTGACCCCACAGAAGCACCTTGCTGTGGCTTTTTGAGAACRTCAGTKGAGGTCCAGCAGGCACARTTCTCTGGCAAACACATTTCACAGRCACAAGGCCTGGCTCAAGGGACAAATGAGGAGAAGGCACCAAAAATTGGGTGGTAAAAAAAGAAAAACCCTAACATTTTTGATTCTGTCTGTGCCTCTAGAACCTAATGGGAACACAGACTGCTCAACAGGGATTTGATCAAGCACAGGTTCATCACACTGCTGTCCAGGCTCCTGGCAAGCTAAGTTTCACCTGCTTTACTGAATCTGTCCAAGTGGCAGCTCAGTGGAGCTGCCCCAGGAGATGAAGCTCTTTGYAGTGTCCCTCTTTTGCCTCCAGATTTAGCGAATCCTATCTCATATTTCTTCTTATTTTGCCTGGAGAACAAATTCTTCAGAGATAAGAGAAGCAGGGACAAGGAGGATTATTATGCAGTGTTTGCCTTGAGAGCTGATTTTGTGCTTTTCTGTTTGTTGTATTTATAACAAAARAGCATTGAGAACAAAAGAGAGGGAATGAGAGTCAGCATGGGCCAGATGCTTCCCCCTCAAGCCATGAGTAACTTCTATTGTTGAGAGGAGGTTAGGAGGAGGGGGGAAGAAAAGGAGGAAAGATAAAAGAGAGAAACAAGATGATGGGTGGGATGTAGGTTGGCCTGTAAACAACAGGAGGTTAAGTGAGAAAAGAACCAATGGAGAGACTGAAGGCAAAAACAAAAGGACATAATGACGTGAAAAAAGAAAATACTAAAGCAGATTAGAAGGGCAAGGCAGAGGAATTAAAGAAAAAAGAAGGAAAAAGTAGCAGTAAAATACCAGAGGAAAAAGGACAACTTGTGAATAGTCAGAAAATATGAACAAACAGAGAGGTACAGGAGGAAGCTGCAAAAGTACCCAACTAAAAGGGCACAGACATAGCACCGGAGAGATCATGGCAGTAAACCACAGCCACCTTTAAATTCTGCCCTCAACCACAGTGTCATGCATATTGACACTAATGTTTGAAAACTTTGATGATTAAGCTGGCCACTTAATCTAGAGTAAACTGAAGTAAAAAGTTATCAATACTTTCACCGCTGCTTTCAGAACGGGAAGCACCCATTGTAAAAAAAAATCTGTGGAAAACAACATTTTATATTATAACAGTGATTCACAAAGAGGAAGTGATGTATTAAAAGAATGAATAGTTCTGCAGAAATTTGCACACGAGAGARAGGAAACCAGCATCCCTGTGAAAATTCTGTCTTGG